TTTTTAGTCTGTATTTTTAACGGAGATGACTACATTGACACAAATTTTTCCTATGTTTAGATTCAATTGACACTTTTACACCACGTGAGGACGAAAATGAAACTTTTTTAAAAATGAGGATGAATTTGACACAATTCAACCAAACTGAGGACTAAGAAAGCAATTAAACCTATTAAATAATACAGATGAAGTATTGCATGTACATATTGCAAAGCATAAGTCAAATCAAGATAGCATAACTTTGAATAAAAATGGTATTGAATGAGCGTAAACAGAGTTTCTTAGTTTGGTTTAAGAAAAAAGATGTATAGCGAGTTAATGCTTCATAAACACTTTTGAGGCTAGCCACTTGGTCTAATAACAATGTCATTACATTCGGTTGGTGTAATATTAATAACTATTAGTTTTATACAAAGAAAGAAGATAACAAAAGTTGAGTACAAAATAAAGAAATTACCATTCAAGCTAAATTTCTTCACTTTGCTAACAAAAATTCAATCACAAAATCCAAGATTTATTACAAAGTCATATATGAGATTTGGGAAATTGATTATATGACATTTAGACAGCTAGTGTTCAAGTGTAAATGAGTTAATGGTAAAATGAGTGTGAAAAAAATGATTTAGAGTTTGTTTTGGTGAATCTAAATAACATTGAGTGTAAGGAATAAATTTTTGATTTTTGTGAGATGTATTGTTTCTCAACACGAACAATTGTTGTCAAAGTGGATAATGAAGTGGATGACATATTATTTGAAATGATTATATTAAAAGGATATGGGAAAAAAAACTTGTTTAATAAATTATTGTTACTTTTATTATTATAATATATTTATTTGTTGAAATTCATTAACGACATTGTTATTTCTTAAAGATTATGACGAATTTCAGATTTGATCGTGGAAAAAGCAAACAAACTATAAGATATTTCATCCAATTGCCTTAATTGATTGTGGAATAAGTTGCCAAGGAGAGCACACGTGTTGATATAGATACTTATTTTTACAAAGCATTAGACCCAAAATGCTCCTAGATTTATGAGCTATTTAGAAGTCACAACTTGATATATTATTCAAGATATCCTATAATATATTATTCAACTCGATGTGTTGTATGAGAAAGAAGAATAAAAAAATAACAAAGACACCAAATAAAAAGTATTTTGTTAGCTTTATTAGTTTAAAACTTTCCTAATTTTTTAGCATTTATTTTTTCAATTATTTCTTCATTTTTATATCTAATCTATTTACTCTTCTCAAATATATTTTTTAATTTAATTAAATTTGACAATTAGTACCTTCTAAACCTATTCTTCGACCTTTATCTGTATAGTTGATTTTTCAATCTATATATCAATTTTTAAATTTACCTAGTCTGACAAAGTAAATGATACTAACATATGGAAATCCACTCTCAATGGAGCTTATGCTATTATACTAATCTTCAAGATTCCACCTAGGCCCATCATAGAAGAAAAAGATTTAGAATTTTTATAGCAATTATACCACATCCATATAGAGTCAAAGAATCATATTATTATGATAGTGTTATTACCATTATAGATAAGTGGAACCAACGTGTTAATTTTATAAAAAGATATTTCTTTCAATAATTTATAAAGAGATAGCACCAAATCGTTAATTTTTAAAATAATCAAGCACCAAATAATTATTTTTTAAAACAATCAAGCATAAGATAATAATTATGTTTTGAAACAATCAAGCAACGAGTCGTTCTTTTTTAAAATAATAATTTTTTTAATGTTTGTTATAACGTTTCAAAATAACCAGAATGTAATTATATTTGGAACTATTTCTCACAATGATTTCAATTCTACGAAATCGATTACTATTTTTTATAATTAATTATATCGCGTTAAAAATTATTGAAGTTGCAGGTACGACGATTTTAACTTTAGATAAGACAGAGCTGAAATCATCTTGGAGTTATACAACATCATCACATAAAATCGTCTGGAAACTGTACAATTTACCTATTTTTATAATAGTATAAAATATACCTATTATCGTAATATATGAGACAAATTTATCTATTTTTATAAAAAAAAATACGTTCTTCAGTCTATTTGTTGTGGTAAGTACTTTGCATTTTATAGGTTATAGAAGTTGATTTTATTTACAGACCCGGTTCACATTTATTGGTGTGTTAATTCTTTGCTAATGATAGTCTAGTTTTTCTGTTGACTTGTGCATTTTTTTATTTCTGTCCTATTTTTAGTAATTAGTACTAGTTTTAGTTGTTCTTTGATCTTTTTAAGTCTGTTTACATAGTTTTTATAGTTTCCTTTTGATGTTTTAACAGTAAAGTAGGTTATATACTGATTTTAGCATTTCAATTTCTGGTCTGATAGTGATTTTCTATTTTCTTGTTATTTTGAGTCACTAATTTGTTTTTCAGTTTTCCTCTACATTTTGCTTAAATGGATTTTTTTAGTGTTTTTTTAAAAGCACACTTGATAACAAAAAATTATGATTAAGACAGTGAAAGAAAAGAAAAATTCAGAAGATAATATTTTCTTTAAAAGACAACTCTTTCTCATTTTAAAATTTGTTAGAATTAAATACTTCTTCTAAAGATATTTTAAAAAATATCTCTTAAATATTGTAAACTATATCTGAAAGAATTTTCTTTTTTCTGAAAGTTTCTAAAATATCCAAGGTAGTTAAATATCATTACTTAACCCTAAGTAACTTTAAAATTCTTTTAACTTTTTCTAATCCTTAATTGCAACAAAAAAAAAAACTTAACTTCTAAGTTTCTCATTATCAATTCTTTGTTTTTATTTAAATTATATAAAACACTTCTAATTCAATTAAATATAAGTGAAATTCCTTTATAAGAATTATATGTCTTCATAAGTGGTAATGTCACGAGAAAACATGTACTATTTAGCACCTAGCAAAAGTTGATACATTTTATTTATAGATCATCTTTATATGATTTTCTGTATTGATATAACTAATAGATAAGGATTATTTGGTTATAATTGAATTCATAACCTTTTCATCTTCTCTTTTCTAAACTTGCCAAATCAATTTTATAATTATCAAATGTTAGTAGAAACAGTTAAATCTACAATCTATCACATCCGTTCTTCCAACTTTATTATTAAGTCACCTTATAACTCCTCAATTGTAGGATAGGTAATATTAGATACCTTAAAAGATGTATTCTCTTTATTTTATAAGAAAGAAAATAAAAACAATAACGAAAACATTCTACATTTGAAAAATCATACACAGTTGTGCTTTGATATCTTATTTTTATCATAAATTGAAGTATGATTTGATTAAGCATTAAAATATGATTGAGGTGTGAATTTTGAATCTACATATAGAAGCATGTGACTGAGAAAATTTTTTATTTGTTAGAAAACTTCTTGGATTCTAACAAACTTGATTAGAAAAGACGTATTAGATAATGTCCAAGCGTAATTTATAGTCAGAAAGTTGTAAGGTAAAGTTTGTCTCACTTCTTATATCCAATGTATTAACAAAATTACATGACTAAATACTAATTGAGTTGAAGCACTTGACAAGTATTAAAATTTCGTATTTATTAAAATCAGTGGTGGAGACGAGATAAAAACGCGGTTTCTCAATCAAAGTAAACGTATCACAAGTCATCAGATAATTGTCTAAAAGAAAAAATGTGGTCCTCTCCATCTCTGTATATACAGTCTGTGTTGTTTTAAATATCATTACCTAACTTTGATTTTTGCACTTCAATTCAACGAGAAACTATTTGGACATCATGTGGAGAGAGGAAGCATTGTTGGTGGTACTGCTCCTTCTGTTCCATCAAATTTGTGCTACCAAGGAACAGAAAGAACACTTTTTTCGTGTCAATTTCTTCCAAACACACTTTCCATTATGAGTTTTTCAATTCCACAAATTCAACAGAGTGGTGGAATTTTGGGTAGCGTTTGTGGAATTGCTTCCATACAATAATCATTGCTTTATAAAAATTTAACATTAAATGTCTTTTTTTAATATTTGATAATATTATATTATTTTTATATTTTTTAAAATTAATTAATTGTATTAAAATTGTAATATATATATATATATATATATATATATATATATACTCGGTGATGAGAAAAGAATGAAAATGAAATAAAAATATTCATATTTAATTAATATATGAAGATGATATGGAATTTTAATTCAGAGATAGATAGAATAATAAGCACGTCTCTTCCCCGTACTATCACTTACTAATCAATAACTATTAATTAGTTATATGTACACATTGTCATTTGACTGCGTCAATTATGTATTTGCATATATATATATATATATATATATATATATATATATATATATATATATATAAAGTGATTATGTAAGAGAAACATGTTAAACTCTATTAGAATTTGTGGCTCTATAAAGCTTATCAACACGGATAATATCATTTTGGTCACAAGTCTACAGCCCTTCAATAATTTGCAAATATTTGAAGTAGAAAAAAAATCAAATGCATTATATAAACACTGCTTTTGGATCAGGAATATAAAATTTTATTTTGACAACTTTACCATTATTTATTGTAATATATTTAGGGTTTTTTCCTCATTTAAATAATTCGTGGACTATTTGTTGAATTTGGCTCCCAAACTAATTCCCTAAAAATTATTTTAGACAGCATGTAAATAAAACCTTCAAGTTAGAACAATTTATGATGATTTTAGAAATTCGAAGAACTGCATTAAAAAAAATTACATGATTAAATAGCTAAATCAGAATTCGTGCAGTTCACGAATTTTTAAAATTTTGTATTCATTAAAATCAGTAGAAACCAGATAGAAATGTAGTTTCTCAGTCAAAGTCTACGTTTGAATCATAAGTCTTCAAACTATTGTGCGAAAGGAAAAATGTGGTCCTTTAGGATTATATATTGAGTCTGTGTTGTTTTAAATATCAATATATAACTTGGAATTGGTTGCCCTCCAATTCAATGAGAAACAGTTTGGACAACATGTGGAGAGAGACAACATCGTTGGTGGTACTGCTACTTATTCTATTCCACCATATTTCTGCTACCAAACAACACCTTTGTCCCCCTTCTTCCTGTGGCAACATCCCCAACATCACTTATCCATTTCGATTACAAGGTGACCCAGACAATTGTGGTGACCAAAGTTATGAGCTTGGTTGTGAGAATAATGTTACGGTGTTGTATCTGAACTCTGCACAGTATCATGTGCAGGCAATCAACTACAACAACTACACAGTGAGAGTGGTTGATCCTGCACTCCAACTCCATAACTGCTCCTCCCTTCCTCTACGTTCTCTCTCTCGCTCCAATTTCTCTGATACTTACTCTCATACTTACACTTACTCCACGCATCAATACCAAGCCCGTCTAGATCCGCATCGTAATTGGGCATCTCTGAGTTTCGAGCATATAGTGTTTTTGAACTGTAACCATTCAGTGAGAGAAAATGAGAAGTATGTGGAGAGTGGTGAGTGCGTGAAGTGGGACTCAAAAGGCTATGCATATGCTGTTGTTGGTGACCTAAAAGCTGAGGACTTAGAAGTTGGGTGTGACGTGAAGCTTGTTGCTCCCACATCGTTCAGGACTTTCAATAACCATTCCTACGCTGCCATGCACAGGGCTCTCGCCTATGGATTTGAGATCTCTTGGGTTAAAGTCGCCTGTCAGAATCATTGTATTGAAAAGTTTTGCTATTTCGACTCTTCACGCCAGAAGCTTCTTTGTCCATTAGGTGCGTTATATATTAACTTTCTCTACTTTTCATGTTAAATTAAATTCATATTTTATTTAGTTAAAGCATAATTTTTTGTTTATATTTTTTATATCTTTATTTGATACTCGTTTTTATATAGGAGGTACACAATTAGTAATTTCTACCGATGTGAATTTTTTGTGAACATCTCTTGAAATATTTAAAATATGTTTGATCCCTTTAACTTGCCACATTATTGTATTCAATTGCTTTACCCATTCACTTCACTTTCTATAATAACAATCTTTGTACGATTATTCTAATTTTGTCTACTTTTCATGTTAAATTAAATCATTTATGTTTTTTATTTCTTTAATTGATACTCGATTGGCTTCAATTAACATTTTACATAATTATACATATTCAAATTAGTAGGAAAATCATATTTCATCCACTTTTTGAGAATTTTTTGAAACAAAGTTTGAATGATTTATGTTAATAATTCAACCAACTTTTAGAAAGAAATATAATATTTTTTTATCTTTTATATTTTACATGCATTTATAAGAACTTCTGCATTAAATTAACATTTATTATTTTAAAATAAATAAAAAGTTGTTAAACTTGTTCACCGCTATTACCTTTTCATATGAAAACGGTTTTTTTATCAATAACTGTTCAGATAATCAGAATCCTAAAATGTTGATGTTTTCTTTCATTTCAGGGTTGTTCACGGTATTATTATACTGGTTAGCGTTGTTAGCTGGTAAGATCTTATCATCTTAATTTCTCAATACTTTAATTACAAGAGGAGTAGAGCTTTTAACAATGATTAAAATGGACTTTTTAACAGTAGTTTTAAAATTATCATTAATAGAAATGCTATTAAAATAATAGAACATTTGGCCATGGTTAAACATAAAATCGTCTGTATATATTTTTCAAAAAATTTCGAACCCCTTTCGACTACCGTTTATGATTAAACCGGTTTAATTTTTATTTTCTTTTACTTTTGAAAATTTTCACCTCTTTCAATAATGATGGTTGTGTTTTGATCTCTGGTTGAAAGTAATATATGATGATAGTTATATTGTTGCTGTATGTATATTTTTCTTAATATTTGTTCTGAATTGATTAGGGATCAAAATAAATAAATGTGTTTTTATCTAAATTTGTTTAGATTATTTATATTGTAGTAGAATGAATAAAAGTATGAGTAATAATATTTAATATTTTAAAATTTAATGGAGAGAGGCATGTATATACATCAATGATCAAAGTTGTCTATGTTTTAAATTAATAAAACATTTTTAATGTATTAGGTAATTAAAAAAATTATTTATATTATTTTCTTTAATCATTTGTTACATTTCCCTAAAAAAAAAACTCTTCTTTTACTATTACATTGTTTAGCATTCTCTTGCAAGACCTATTCGATGTCTATTAAAATCACTAAATTTTTTAGGATACTTTATCTTTTATTTGTAACTTCAATTACACATTTTTTTTTTCTTTTGATTTTCTTCATATGAATTACATTTTTAAAAACGCAAAACCTCCACTTTATAGAACTAAATTGTGTGAATCCCTGGTTTATAAGATAAACTAAAAAATGTATCTTTCCTTTTATTTTATTTAATTTTAATTTCATTTCATTTGAAGAGTTCTTAATTTTCATTCTCTCATTCAATGATTCAACTGGTTATAAATCTATTGAATTCACTCAAATTCTTGAGATGCTTTCACTCTTAACATTTAAAAAATATTAAATATTAGTTATCATGAAATTTCATATATATATATATATATATATAATTGTTATTTAACTATGTTTTAAAATATGATTATTGCTATTTAATTATTATTTAAAAAATAATAAATATTGTAGTTGTCATGAAATTTTAAATAATAAATATGTATTCTTTATTGTGATTTTTTTAAGAAAAATAATTAATTAATATTTAAAATATTATGAGAAATGGTTACAAATATATTATTATTTTATGGGTTGAAGATAAGATACAAATTTTATACCTAATTAATAAAAGTGAGACGAAAATGGGTATACATTTTTCTTACAAGACAGAGATAACATAGTTAGACTCACACTTACCTTATCATATTGTCACTAATACAATAAAAGTTTATTAAGTATGTGACTTTTTTTTTTACGTAAATTTATATGAGACCCTTAACACTTGACATAAATTTTTATTTTTATGCTTTTCTGAAAAACAAAATAGAACAACCATAAAAAAAGCACAGATAACAATTTCAAATGACAAAATGATAATCTATGAAAATATATAACACATACACTTGATCCACAAAAATACTAATACAATCGAAGCTTTTACCACGAAACATCATATTCTCCTCAAAAACCCTATAAGCAATAAAGAGTGAGATTATTGTTTATGAATGGATCTCTTGATAAAAATATATAATATATTAGTTAAAGTGACTCGTGGGATTGCTTATCTCCATCATGGGTGTGAGATGTAAATTTTGCATTTTCATATAAAACCCCATAACATCTTACTCAATGAAAATTTTATTCCAAAGGTTTCTAACTTTGGATTAGAAAAGTTATATCGAATAAATAATAACATCTATGGCAACAAGTGGAACCATTATATGCCTCCAGAATTGTTCTACAATAATATTGGTAAAACTGATGTTTATAGTTTCATAATGTTGTTGATGGTGGCAAGCAAGAGGAAGAATCTAAATCCTTAAGTAGCACAATCAAGTCAACTTTACTTTCCTCTTTGAATCTATAATCATATAAGAAGGCATTAATTTAGAAAAGGCTTAATACCATTGTTGGTCCCAATTTTTGTCAACTTTATTTTAAAGGGTCCCAATTTTAGAAAAGACATTATTTAAGTCGTTAACGACACATCATCAATCAGTGAATTACATGGCAGTTATTGGCTGACGTGGCTAGGACCAGAGTTGACTAAGGATGGTCGCGCCAATGAGGGCTTGACATATGGCAACCCCTTTCTTCACCTAAAAGTTAGGGTTTCAGATTTGCATCTCCAGATTGGGGAAAAACTTGCTCTAGTGCCGTCATGCGAGAATAGGGTTTCTCCTTCACGATGGATATGGTAAACTTCGTTATAGTTAGTTTGCTTCTAGGTTTTTCTCCTTTACGTGGATGAAGAAGGTGCGGAGGAGAAGCTTGCGGAGAGGCGCTGGTGGGACGGTTGAAGATGATTGCGTTATTTGGCTTTGCGTTTCTGCGATTTGGGTTTTGCTCGCGAGAGGTTGGTGATGATGTTGGTGGCTCTTCACCGTTGCGGCACGAATCACGCTTCTGGTTTGAAGGAGATTTTTGGCTCTTTTGGTTTTCATCTTCTATGTTTCAGGTTGATGGTGGCAGGTGGAGAATGAAGAAGCTTCACGACAACGTTGCTCAAAGGCGCGAGGAACTCGCTATTCAGTTTCGCGATGTTTGTAGCGGAGTGTTTAGAACAACGGCACAACCATTTGGTTAGGGTTTCAAAATGTTTGATGATGGAGGTATAAAGATGGTGGCTGACTGTAAGCGTGATGGCGGCAATTAAGGTTAGGTGGTGGCTATAGGGTTTCTATGTAGGGGGAAATTAGGGTTTCTGGAGGTAGGAGATGATGATGACATGTCAAGGGTGATGTGACACTGATTGCTCAACTGGACATTTAGCCATTAACGATTTAAACATTGTTAGCCAAAAGGATAAAATTGAACATAAATTACGATATAAAGGACTACATTGAACATTCGAAAAGAATGAGGACCCTTTCGGATAAAGTTAACAAAAATTGAGACCAAAAATAATATATTAAGTCTTAGGACTACAATGTGAAAGAGGAAAGTTTAGGATCAATTGAATGCATAGGTGAGATCAGGAAACAATAAGATGGAAGATGGTGGCAAGTTGATAATGGAAGATAGCAAATGGGTGTAAATGTTGATCGAACAAGTGATTCCATAATCAAACAAGTTTATCTTACGAAACAAGAATGTTTGGGTCAAGTGAAAGTGCATACAATTATCATTATGAGGACAAATATGCTTTTAAAAGAGCTTTAAAAGGAGTGACAACCATTAACACTTTAATAGTTGTAGATAAACCCATTGAGACACGAAAAGAAATGAAATACAATTGTGAGTACGTACGTCTACTTAATGGTGTAAGTTCTACTTTTTTTCATATTCCTAATTTAAAAAATCTGTAAATAAATTTTGTTTATCAATAAAACTTGTTATAAATATTATTTTATCAATGAATTTTATTACAGAATTAAAGTGAAAATTATAATATCTATTTTATCATTAAAATTTAACGATAAAAATATTTATCAATAATAAATAATTTAAATGGCCGATAAATTTTGCTAATAAATCCATTATCAACAAAGTTAATTAAAATCTTAAAATATATTTATAAAAATTATTGATAAATTATGTTTAACAAGAAGACTTTTTCCTCTATAAATGTTATATAACCAATGAATATTTATGAATGAATTTTTCTCCATTTGTAATGTGGTATCTTGGTATTATTAAATGTTATTTTCCTAAGATAAAAGTATTATTATTTGCAAATTTAAGGTATGGAAATACGTTCTAAGGGTTAGAGGAACAAAAATTGCATCAAAGACGTTTATGGAAGCTAAATAAATTACTTTAAAAGATTTTTTTTTTTGACAAATTTATTTATAGATAACAGTGTCAAATAGGGAATTTATTGATAGTTCTTCACGCTAGTCATTAGACTTACTCTCTCTTTTTTTTTTCTAATGTAACAAAGTAAATGGATATGTAAAGTTTAGATTTTATTATTGAAAATTTACTTTAAATAAATACTTTACTGTATTACATTAGTGTAATTACTCAACAAAAGAAATCCTTGCAGGTTTTGTCATTCTGCAATTGGCGGTTAACAAAATTTTGTTTGGATTGCCATTCTTAATTGTGATTTTAATATGTAAATGGAGGAAAAGACATGCATCAATATATGAAAATATTGAAAATTATCTTGAACAAAATCACTTAGCACCTATCAGATACTCATATAAGGAAATTAAGAAGATGACAGGAAGTTTCAAACAGAAGTTAGGTGAAGGAGGATTTGGCTCTGTGTTTAAGGCAAAGTTGCGAAGCGGACCTTCCGTGGCAGTCAAAATGTTAGGCAAATCTAAAGGAAATGGACAAGATTTTATCAATGAAGTTGCAACTATTGGAAGAATACATCATCAAAACGTGGTACAATTAATTGGATTTTGTGTCAGTGGTTCAAAGCGGACTCTTGTTTATGAATTCATGCCCAATGGATCTCTAGATAAATTTATATTTTCAAGAAATGGAAATATAGAATTTAGCTATGAAAAAATATATAAGATATCGATTGGAGTAGCTCGTGGAATTGCTTATCTCCATCATGGGTGTGAGATGCAGATTTTGCATTTTGATATCAAACCCCATAACATCCTATTGGATGAAAACTTCATCCCAAAGATTTCTGACTTTGGATTAGCAAAGTTATATCCAATAGATAATAGCTTCATCACAATGACAGCAGCAAGAGGAACCATTGGATATATGGCTCCAGAATTGTTTTACAATAATATTGGGGGAATATCTCACAAAGCTGATGTTTATAGTTTCGGAATGATGTTGATGGAGATGGCAAGCAAGAGGAAAAATCTAAATCCCAATGCAGAATATTCAAGTCAACTTTATTTTCCCCTTTGGATATATGATCATATTAGAGATGAGGAAGATATAGATATAAAGGATTTGATGGAAGAGGAAAAGCTAATAGTAAAGAAAATGATCATAATTGCACTTTGGTGTATACAGTTAAGACCAAAGGATCGTCCATCAATGAATAGAGTAGTGAAAATGCTTGAAGGAGACATTGAAGATTTAGAAATACCTCCAAAACCTACTTTATTTCCTGATGAAATGAGTTTAGAGAATCAAACCGCCAGTTCTATCTAAATAATTTTGAAAGAATTCATCTGCGGGGAAAAAGAGGTTGAGAATTCGTATTGCAGTGGTGAAAAATTAGAAAAAGGGGAAGCAGGTGAAATTTTATATTTGTAGTTCTTTAATCAATGATAAACATGTTTTGATATCTACAATTCTACTGCTGAACTTTTATTGTTCCTGTTATTTGAATAATAGGTGTAAATGTTTTTTAAATAAGATGCTTTCTGTAGTAGTGTAGTGCAACTTCTTATTAATCCATGTAAAATAAATTAATTCAATCTTTCGATAAAGTATATTATTTAAAATGCACACCATAGACTGTGTGAAGTTAAGCTTGTCAAGATCTAACAATGGTTAACTTTATACTTTAAAGTCATTATTTACCGATAGTCACTACAAAAATTTATAATTTTTTCGGGGTTTTTTTTTTTTCATTTCCGGATGTTTTAACCCCCAAAAAATGCTTTACCCGCGGTTGAAAAAATCGCAGGAAAAAGCTACGTCGCTAAAAAATTATCGGCGATCTTTAAAAACCTCCGATATTAGCAAGGGTTTTTCAAAACCGCCGGAACTAGTCGAGATTTTCGTCCAAACCGCCGGAAATAGCCAAGGTTTCTCAAAACCGCCAGAAATAATTACGGTTTTTCAAAACCCCTGGAACTAACCGGGGTTTTTTCCAAAACCGCCGGAAATGTATACAATTTTTTTTTTAATTTTTTATTGTAATAAATGAAATTATGATAAAATTAATTTTATTAAATATTATATATAAAATATTCTCTATTGCGTTTTATCATTCTTTAGTTATCTACATATAGTGTATCTCTTATTCTCTTTTGTATTAGTTTTCATCACAATTTAATAATACAAATTGGGTTTTTCTCTCTTCTCCTTTTCTTCAATACCTTAGTTTACTTTTACTCCTAATTTCAGAATAATATAATAAAGGTACAAAAAGTAAGAAAAAAATGTACAAAAAAAACAATTTTTAGAAATATAAAAAAGTAATAATGTTTAAATAATCAAACTAATAAGAGATTTATGAAAATCTTTTATTAAAAATAAAATAAAATATTAAATATATACTAATTTTCTCCCTACATTCTTCACTTTATAAAAATCACATAAAACATAGTCTCCAACAAATATCACATGAAGATTATCTTATAATTTAATGTGAAACTTGGTTTGTTACATAATAAACTCAACCTACAATTTTATTGAAATTATATTTTACATTACTTTTCATAAAATGCATAGATAAAATAAATATATATTTAATATAGGACAAAACCCAATATTTTAAAATAAATTGAAAAAAAAAACATTTAACATACAATTTTATTTAATGTCAAAATATCTTGTATCTTACATTTATTCCAAAGCCAATTTTAAAGTCCTCAAGCAACTTAAGGTCTTCCTTTTAATTTGGCTTAGCAAATATTGTCTATTGAGTTTGAGCTCCTTGTGGTGGATATCTGGCAAACAAAGTTCCTCAATGGTTCCTTCATCAATGGGTGTCGTTATAGGACTAACCTTCATTTCATACAACTTTGGCCACAATTTTCCAGTTACTGCAACAAAACACATTTTAAACTTATTTTGAGGTTCAAATTCAATACGAGAAAAAGTAGGAACATTAATTTTCCATTATTCATGCTTGTTAGGGAATTCCTAGATGGAAAGGAACAAGCCCACTCAGTAATAAAAAAACATATAAAATGTGTTAGCATATTATTAAATTTGTTGAGATAATGTTGTCATAAATATATAATTAATTAATAAAGTACATTTTATTGAGAACCATATTTTTTGAACCTGAAAATTGCTGCAATTTTCTCCATTGTTTCCTCCATTTCAAGAACAAAAAACCATAGAATTTATTTCACATTAACAAGTTCAACAAGAATCCTGTAATGAAAACCAATTGGACATTTCAATATCTAGTCTTTCTTACCTGTCAGTGCAAAGAGTAGGAAGAAATCTCAGGAGCAACTGCAATTGTAATGACATAGAAGCTCGTAGGGCTGCAGGAGATGGTGGAGAAGAATTTATTGCCACTATTGGTCGTCTAGATAATGCAGCACTTCCAGTTCTCAAATTTTTGCGGTTATTTACTTTATTTGGCTGACCTTCAACTCCAGCAGGAGCACTTCCCAATGGTTTACTTCCACCTGTAATAGCAATTATGTGTCTCTCAATATAACTCAATTGTTTTACCAAGTCAGTTGCAAAAGAATTGCGAGCTTCATCAGAGCTTTGATCTATGGAAGGAAGAAGCAACTCGGTAAGAGCCCTCTCAATCACTTGCTACTGGCACCTTTTCAAATATGTTCCCTCTTCAACAACTTCTCCTTCAAGAGAGGTGTTGTCAAACTTCTTGTTATCCCCTTTTATAGTCAATGAATCAGTAGTCGGCCTACACCAACCCCAAGGTTCCCAAAATTGGGTCTTAAGAGAAAGTTTTTTATTAACAGCAATGTTATGCAACCTTTGTCTAATGGCCTTCCGGCCAAAGAGGACATCCTAGCCTCCAAGGAACCATTTAGCTTGCAACAACATTGAATCCTCTAGTGACCTACCAAAGAGATGAATCAATTCTGCAAAAAAGGGTACAGCATCAGGTCTAACCAATAACCTAGTGAGAAGTATTTGAATAAAATATTCTCATTCTCAGAAGCACTAGCAGCCTTCTCAGGACTAGGTGAGGACAACTTTATAGCATCAGACAAGGGCACATCATGATTCTCCACTTTTTTAATGAGGGCTTGTTCATTTAAAAGTAACCTGAGGAGAACCCACTGCCATTACCACTTCTTAAAAATTTTAAGAAGTGACGTCCTCTACTATGTAACATGAATAAAACTAGTGCAAGGTGTATAAAGAATGAAGGACATACTGTATAAACGCCAACTTCAATACATCGTTCTTCTCCAAGAATCTGCACAAGCATTGCAAACAGCTGTGCCTGATCAGAGGACACCTAAAAGCATTGCCAACGCTTTACTTCTTGCTAATCAAGTGAAATTACAAAGTGAAACATGACAGACAAGATAGAAAACAAGTGAGATTGATGTACATTCTTTCTAGCACAATTCTTTATTTGGGCCCATCAAATTTCACAAATTTAAGCTTGATCTCAGACAGAATATCAAAACACTAGTAGCACAAAGTTAACATTCAAAGACCACTATGTGCCCCTACATAAGAAGCCCCTTAGTCTTCAACAAAAATTGTTAAATTTGATTTATTTCACAGTTACGAGATGTAGGTTAATCATGTTCATCATCAGAACAATAAATTAATTGTGTACAACATCTATAGAAACAAATAATGAATAAATGGTACAATAATGTTACTCACTTTCATAGAACCAAATGTGCAGTAGAAATCCTGCTTGAATAGTGAAGATATAATACACAACCATAAAATCAACATTAACCACTCTATTACTAAACAGTTTAAGAAAAATTGCATAAGAATGAAATAATTAGAGACACCTGCATCAACATTTGACTTCCACGCATAGAGGTTGTCTCCTGCCGCAATTGCCTTAGGATCTGAAGTGCGTCAATTTAAGAAATTAGAACTGACCAGAAAATTATGATAAAAAAATTGAAAAGCCAATAACTTCTTACATTGCAAAAATAAAATAAAACAAAGTAGTTCAGAGCAAGATCCATGCTACATTCTGATTAAAGATTTATGTTCCTATAATCCTTTAAAATTAAAAAGGGAGAAGAACAAAGATCGAATTAGCTCCATGAATACAAACTTAGCTCAATGCAACAAAATNATATCAAAACACTAGTAGCACAAAGTTAACATTCAAAGACCACTATGTGCCCCTACATAAGAAGCCCCTTAGTCTTCAACAAAAATTGTTAAATTTGATTTATTTCACAGTTACAAGATGTAGGTTAATCATGTTCATCATCAGAACAATAAATTAATTGTGTACAACATCTATAGAAACAAATAATGAATAAATGGTACAATAATGTTACTCACTTTCATAGAACCAAATGTGCAGTAGAAACCCTGCTTGAATAGTGAAGATATAATACACAACCATAAAATCAACATTAACCACTCTATTACTAAACAGTTTAAGAAAAATTGCATAAGAATGAAATAATAAGAGACACCTGCATCAACATTTGACTTCCACGCATAGAGGTTGTCTCCTGCCGCAATTGCCTTAGGATCTGAAGTGCGTCAATTTAAGAAATTAGAACTGACCAGAAAATTATGATAAAAAATTGAAAAGCCAATAACTTCTTACATTGCAAAAATAAAATAAAACAAAGTAGTTCAGAGCAAGATCCATGCTACATTCTGATTAAAGATTTATGTTCCTATAATCCTTTAAAATTAAAAAGGGAGAAGAACAAAGATCGAATTAGCTCCATGAATACAAACTTAGCTCAATGCAACAAAATTCTGAAAGTCAAATTTACAACAGAAAAGTTAAGAAAAACACTTAGCTCAAATGAACGCGCCTAACCTAGGCTCTGATGACCCCAGGTCATGGCAGATTGGTGAGAAACCATGAATCTGGTGAAAATCGAGTGGGCGAATAGAGGAAGCCGCGAAAGAAGGGGAAACGAACTACGAACCCTAGGTTCGAAGGATTGGTGGAAGAGAATAATTTAAATGGTGGAAAAGATGAATTAGTCAATGAAATGAAGAAATCAAAGTTACGAAGCTTTTTAAATGATACAAACCTCTAGACGAAGATGAGCGAAGACGAATCGGTAGAAAATGGTAGAAAACCCTACCTATTGAACTGAGGTGGATTTGAAAATTTTAATCGGTGAGAAAGTGAGACAAAGTGAGGAGAAAGTAACAGATTTGTTTACAATTTTAATTACCTTGATTGCCAAAGTGAGATCAAGGCCCAAAGAGCTCCATACCTTGAAGATGAACAAACGGCGCCCAAAAGGGATATGATTGAAAGAAAATGAAACCACAGAGACGAAAAGCGGAAACGAAACGGTGTGGGGGAAGGAAACTAGGGTTAATAGAAAATATTTACTGATTAGTCCGGAAAATTATTTAAAAATAAATAAATAAATGTTAGGGGCGGTTTTACTTATTAATCGCTGGAATTATTTGGGGTTACGAAAACCGCCGGAAAATAACCCCTATTAAAATGTACTTTTTTTTGTAGTGAGTTGTAACCAATAAAATTATGCTCAACCAATTTACTGATGGATTATACCTTTGCATTAGTAATTAATATTAAATATATCTAGTAACAACTATGAAAAATGATTCCTGCAATACTGGGAGTTTGTCTTAAATTAAAATAAAGGTTTATTAAATAAGTTTTAAAATAATTACTTAGAAATAAAATCTACTTATTGAATAGACTTAATTTTCAAGTCTACATAAATTTGGATGTTTTAAATAAGTCTATATTAAATATTTTTGGTTAATTCATTATAAAAAAAAATTCTTAATTAATGATAAGTTTTAGTTTCTAAAAATAATTAATCATTATAGTGTGATCAATTTAGATATCAATTTATAAACTAAAATTTATTGGAAACTAAAATAGTTTCTATTATAAATAAAATACTATAATTAGTTTCTAATTAATAACTATAATAGTTTTTATTATAAATTAGTATCTAAATTGATCACTAATAATAGTTACTAAAGTTTCTGCTACCAAAATAATTGGTTTTTAATTAAAAACTTGATCTCTAAACATATTTTTAATCATTAAAATTATTTAAGAATTTTCTTATAATGATTATAAGAATTAAAAATTTATATATTTTTCAATTGAGTTACTACTATTTAATTTATTTTTTTATTAATTATTTAAGAATTTTCTTGTAGTGATTAAAAATTAAAAATTTATATACTTTTCAATTGAGTTATTACTATTTAATTTATTTTTAGATAACGACTTTATTATATTGTGTCTTCACTTCACATCTAGAATAAATAAAAGTAGAGAAAAATAAAAGTTTTTCATCTCTCTCTAGACACATGACTTTATTTGGAAGAAAAAAATGGACAAGTATAAAAAAAAACTATATGACATCACATTAGTCATCTCGTTTTGGTATGGATGAGATATTGTCAGCATAACATCCATTTATCAGTTTTTGAATAAAAACGAAAGAGAAGAGTAGGTACGGAGACTGAGACAAAGGAGAATGCTTTAGATTGTGATGATTTAAATATTAATTGTGGTGATGATTATCCAAATGACGAAATTGAAAGTATAAGCTTAAACTATGAAAGTGATGAAGTGAGCATAATGGTCATGGTTTGATCTATCATTTAGGTTCGATAATTGATGTTTAGAATGATAAATGATGAACTTTATGTCTAAATGCACAATCAATTAGTTATTTTATTTTAGTTTAACTTCTCTTACTAGATTCAATGATTAGATATTCACAAATATGTAATCAACAAATTATCATACAATTAAGAATGAGAATAAAATATTAAATAGGAAAAATCATGAAACATTAAAATATATACATTCAACTTTCACAAACAAGGAAGTTATATTTGTTCTTATACATTTTGAACATTAGAAAAAAAAACAAAGATGACTAACTTAGTCTCAAATGATCAAGTTTTCTCTTTCCTCCAAAAGGAGAGGTTCCAAAAAACGAGTTAATTTTTTAGTTATGTGAAATTTTCTATTTAAAGACTTTTATAATTAGATTAGACTTGCAATTTTTACTTGAATTTTTAATTGAAATAATCAATTTATTGATAACTTGAATTATGTAATTTTGTTGATAATTTTCTTAGATTTTTGAGATGACTATCTGTATAATGTAAATCAAATACTTATTTTTTCCAAATTTATTAAATAAAACTTTAATTATCAAAATAGATAATAATAAAATACCAATAAAAAATAAAAATAAACATAATAAAAAAAATATATTAATGCTAATTATCATATCGTAAAATCATATGTTAGAGAATGTGTTTTAAGTCGATTCTGAAGTTAATGTTTCAAAAAAGTGAAGATATAGGTTAAAGTTCTCATAAACGGTTGGTCACAATAATGGGTTCTTGGTGTGGAAAGAAAGAATTGAAGCCATCCTTGATCTAAGATTTTCTTATTTTATTTTACCATACGGTTGTTCATGTTATTACACAAAAGAGAATATATATATATATATATATATATATATATATATATATAAGTAAATAAAAGTCATAATATAACTCCTAAATATGTATATCAAATAATATTTATAATTATGTTTATCAAATAATACTGATAATTATGTTTATAATAAATTAAAAAATAATTTTCTTAATTAAAAATAAAATAAATAATCATAATAATATTTTAATAAAAGATAATGGATTAAGTTAGAGGCAGAGTAATTTAATTTGGTTATTCCATTCCATATGCATTATGTTGGATGGAAATTTCCGAAACACATATAATGATGTCTTGTATGAGTTTTCCACGACATCTCATAAAATGTGTTCCGGAACATTCTCTATCTTCTTTCTCTACAAGGTTTTCTCTCTCTTCTTCTTCTTTCTTTGAAGTAGCAGTAATGGTGAAAGCAATGACAATAGCGATAACCGTGGTGGGATGTACTGGTCAATGGTAGTTTAGTCTTTTTATTATATTAGTGTGGGGTACAAGAAGCAATAACCAAATATTGATGGTACAAGGGTTTGGTGAGCCATCCTAATGGTATCAATCGTATAAATAAAAAGCTTGAAACAAGTGAAAGGGAGGCCAATGAAGATGTACATTTACATAGAAAGATAGGAAGTGGGTACCATGAAGTGGAAGGTGAAACATGATGAGCATGAAGGACAAAGTTTACAAAATGGAGAAGCCATGATTCGGACTACATCTAAGTTTGAACTAGTGACTCCGAGCCAATTGGAAAATAGTTATATCACAGATTGAGTCGGTTTGAGTATGGAGGGCAAAGTAGAGAAGATTCAAACCAAGATGAAATTTTAAGCACTGCAATTGCGCTAGTGCAACAAAAGACTGGAACAATTGAACCTAGACCACAACTAGAAAACCCTAGCATTCTCAAGAAGAGAGGTATATTGAATTACGTCTTAGTACATATTAACGTCACCCACAAATTTATTTGTACATAACAACGTCAAAACCATATTTGTTGATATTTGTTTATACTGGACATTAAATTTACTCATTTTTTGTAATGTTACTAACTATATGGACGTGCAAAGTGTAAATTTTATTAACAAAGATTTGCTTCACAAATACATACTATTCTACATTATCATTATTAGTGTAATCATTCAAGTTAAACTTTCTTGCAGGTATTCTGGAGTTTATCTGTGGCATGGGCTTACAAGGTTTTCATTGGGCTGCCATTCTTAATTGTGATTTATATACATATTAGCATCTTCACAATGACTGTGGCAAGAGAAACCATTGAATATGGCTCCAGAGTTGTTTACAAAAATATTGGAAGAATATCCTATAATGCTGATGTTTATAATTTTATAATGCTTTTGATGGAGATTGCAAACATAAAAAACAATCTAAATATCTACGCAGGATCATTCAAGTCAACTTTACTTTCTTCTTTAGATCTACAATCATATTAAAGAAGATGATGATGTAGAGACCAAACAATCAACTTGATCCAAACAACTTCTAGTGAATATAAACAGTGATTGAAATTACAGTGGTTGAAAGATCTGGCAAGGATGAGAGCTTACAGGAAACAAAATGGAGAGTGCATTATATTTATTGCGTGTGGTAGAGAAAGGAGAAAGAGAAACAAGATGATTTAAGGTAAAATTTTATATTTGTGCATGTAAAATATGTTTTCATATTTATAATTATATATACTACTGCATTTTTTATTGCAGTTGTTATTTGGATAATAGTTTCAATTTTTTTCATATTAATCCTTTGCTAAAGTATACTATTTGACAATGAAGAATAAAGACTAGGTGAAATGATATAGCTTTGTTCAACGTCATTATTTACTGACTTGTAACTGTTAAAATTATGTGACCAGCCACTTAACCAGGCGACCATAGTAGTAAGAAATAATGTTAATTAATGAATAGAGATGTTCTTTTCCTTTCACTGAAAATATCATTATGGGCAAATTTTAAATTTAATCATATTTATGTGAAATTGAATTGTTTGTGTGAACATTCTACACGTTATAAAAGATGGTTGTTGAACGACCCAAAACTTGAATTTCGATCCCTAATTAAAACTTGAAACATATTTATCAATCAAAATAGTTTTGGCCGCTACTTAATATTTTAAACATTTAGCGATCGAAAATTTTTGATCGCTAATAAAATACTTAATTATGTCACAAATTCGGTGGTAGAAATAAGTAATTTATTTTACTTCCAACTTCAAATCGATCGCGCTAAAAACATTATATTTAACAACAACAAAAATTTAGTTTCTAATTAACATGTTAAACATATAGAGTGAACAACAAATTTTAAGTCGTCGAGACTTAATTTGGTTGCAAATGTGCTGGCAAAAATAAATTATTTATTTGTAACTTGATTAAAACCAGTCACTAATATAACATTTTTTCGATAGTTAAAAACATTAATTCAAATTTTACATAAATAACCACCAATTTAGTAACTATAATTTAACTACTGAGATTTTTTTTAATTCAATCATTAATCAAATTGTTGTCATTAGAAAAGTAATAATTCATTATTTTGATAGATTTATGATTGTCATGAACCTCAATAAAGCATGTTCAAAGGAAAATAAAGCATGTTCAAAGGAAACTACCTATTGACTAGCATAGATTAACTTGTAGATATAACATCGTAAGGTACGAGTTGTTGAGTTTTCCATATGCATACTAGGAATGTATTTGTCAAATGAAGAGAAGATGACTTTCATGACTGAAGGAGCCAATTATTGTTATAAAGTCATGTCGTTTAGCTTGAAAAACGCAAGGCCTATTAGTACTTGATGGACAAGGTGTTCGTGAACCTCATAGGATGTATAATGGAGATCTATGT